AGGTTCCTCATTCCTCAGTGGATCGCAGACTGGTTCCTCTTTCGGAAGTGGATTCCAAGTTGACCCTCTGCCAGCTGATGGAGTATTTGAGCCTCTGAATCTCCCCGCTGGAGCCTCTCAACTACTGGGAAGAGTCTCAACCTCCTTCTCCTGCACTGACCGTCCCTATGGATATTATGCTGATGAGGAGAACTCCTGCCGTGTTTTCCATATCTGTTACCCAGCTCGTTTCTCCACTGGTGCTATCGAAACCTATCAGTACAGGTATGTTCTATAATATTGCATAGTGAATTTATATATATATATATATATATATATATATATATAGATAGATAGATATTCATTATTTTTTTTATTAAGATTATGATCTGAAGTATGATTTTGAGATTTTACACATCATCTGTAAAGCTATGAATACATGATTGGTTACTCTTTTTACTAAAGTCTGATTTTCAGAAGCTGAATTTTAAGACAATCCAAAGTAATATAAAATGCCCTATTTGTTCTCCAGCTTCCTGTGCGGTGAGGGTTCTGTATTCGACCAAAAGGAACTTACCTGCAAGGTCCAGTCTGATGCTGTCCCATGCCAGGAATCCTCTAGTTACTACTACACAAACGAGCAGTTCGGTCGCCCTGAAGAAAAATCGCAATAAGTCTGCTGAAGAAGACGACTTTTCTGCCGACACAACGAATGTATATTTATATGATATTAAATAAAGTTTAAGTATTACAATTTTTCTCTCAGTGATGTCCATATCAAACATGATTCAACTATTCATGGAACTATCAGTTGGGATTTTAGATCACTTAAATCAAGCTAGTGTAACTGAGAATCAAATATATAATCAACAATATCAGCACCATTCTCACAGATATAAACTGAATAAAGACATTGACTAACGAGCTAAACCTCATACAGAAATGCATACAATGGACTCAATTTCCTTTGCTTTCATTGAATGTTCAACTGCAATTATGGTAAATGTTACAATAAGTTAAATACACCCCATATTAAAAGAACATTATATGGTTGATTAGGCACTGGTATATCGGCCTACCACAAGTGTTGTTATTCAAATGAACAGGCAAATCTCAGATATATAAGCTATCCTATTCCAGGACTCATTACAGAAGCAAAACAAGAATAAAACAGATGTCAAAAAGAAAAGAAAATGTATTATAAATTGCAGTATCCATAAAAGGCTTTACTAGTATCGAAAAGGAAATCAATGCAATTTGCTTTTGGATCACTGTCGTCTGCATTATTTACCGCATCGTAAAGGAGGTTAGGCCTACCAGAATACAAGTGACATTCTAAAGCTATTGTCATTTATGTTAAAAAAAAACTGAATTAAGGTCAGTTCTTTACAGCAAGGGCTAGTCTACCTCACATATGCTTATGCTTATCATTGCCCGAAACAGTAATAGCTATTTCGTGATAAAATAAGTGTTTACAATAATAAAATCTGCTGGAACGAAACTGTTCTACTTCATGGTGCATTAATACATGCTTACGTAGGATTATAACTAGAATTTATGGAAATATTTGGATAACACATATATGTATGCATATACGAATAAACATATGCTCATACTTATTGCCCGAAACAGTAAGAGCTATTTAGTGTTTACAATGGACAGAGAAGTATTCCAATGCTGAGACTTGGACAATAAATAACAATAATAATAATAATATCATACTGGAACGAAACTGTTCTACTTCATGGTGCATTAGTACATGATTATATAGGATTATAATTAGAATTTATGGAAATATTTGAATAAGACGTATATGTATGCATATACGAATATACACATAAATACAATGCTCGATACATATACAGTACAGCTTTAGATATAGGCCTATATAATTTGAAAAAGAAATATCTTGTTTACCTATTTTCATTCGATTCTATTAGATGGATTAAAAAAAAATCTAACATATTATATCCATAAAATTGGCTAGATTCTTAAACTAGTCTCTATAGTGACAGATTTCGTAAGATGCAAGGCAACTTTAATATTCCTACATGCCGAAAATGCAGTAGTTTAGTCCAATATAATTTGCTTCATACGTCTTTTAGCTAATGTATGGGACCCTCAAACCCATTAACTTCATTAATTTCTGCATATTTCTATTCAGTTAATATTTGACATAATGCTTATTCAATTTTGAGCACCAGACTCAGCTGTAGCTATCCTCTCAGTTGCAAGGTTCAGTGTTCTCAACAACTGGGTAACTAAGAAACTGCACTGTCTTCTGGGTTCTTTTATCCGTAGGTTCTTGAAACTCGTATAACAAGTGAGCCTTAATGAAAGAAGTCACCACACGCTTCAAAGTACAAAATACGTAGGCGCCAGGACAAAATAAAGGCAACTCGGGATATCCTTGGGATCAGCTGTCTCTCTCTCTGATTGGCTGAGGGGGTTGGTGCCTGCATGGAATGTCTGAGGGACCATGACTCTAAGACTGGACAGTAGAATGCAGGACTGAAAGGAAAATAAGTTATATTAACATAGGCATAGATGGTACATACACTGTAATATAATAATCATATCTGTACACACTGTTTGTTTACAGAGAATGTCCTCGAAAGTTGAGGAGTAGGGGATAGAAGTTTTGTGCTGTCCCCCTTTTCCTGCGCCTATGAAGTCGTACGGTAAGTGTAAAAAATGTTTTTTTGCCAAATATAATCAGTGTTCAAAGGCCGCGACAGCTTTCTGATTTTCGACTCATATCTGGTTCTGAGATTTGAGGAAAGTGCAAAATGATTTAAGGTATCTTTATATTTACTTGTCCCGACTATTGCCGCTAATATCTAGTGTTTGTCAATTGTTAGTATCTATCAAAATAAATCAAACCCTTTAATAGAATACTCTGTCTAACGAAACAGAGCATCCTGACAATGATCTTTTCTTCCTTATACTACTAGAGAAAAATACGGTGACTCCTTGAATGTCATGCACATGGACTGGTCGTGTCATAAGCCTGGGAGTCCAAAATTCAGGGTCAAAGCGGTGCCTTTGTAAGACATTCTAGATTTTTTCCCCTGCTGTTCTTTCCTGTCTAGATGCCCTTCCAACTCGGGTCGACTCGAAGTGTGACCTTTCACCTTGGGAGTCAATGCGATAGGTACTGGGTGCATTTAGGTCTGGACTCGGAAAAGGAACATTGTAAAGGACCAGTGATGCATTTACGATCGATTTTTAAAGCACATTTTAAAAAAAAAAGAAAAAAAAGTATGAGGTGATAATGAAAAAGAACCAATGAGAACAGTATTTGTTCATTTAAGCTTAGAATGCTAATGATAAGGTTAGATAAATGGTATTACCATTAATGATATGCTGAAAAATACAATATGATAACAATGATAACAATAATGGAAACTAATGACACTGATTAATAATAATGATTATGGTTAGGTGTAGCAGTATATATATTTCATTATTTATGATCAGTATCATTGCCACTATTAATATTTTGAATTAAAGGCTATTAGTTATCTTTGTCATCTTTAGCGTTATCATTTTACTTTTCATTGTCTATTTTACACTTGTGCCTTTGTTACTTTCATTACTGTTTTTGATGAATGAATTATCAGTTTATTTATTTCTGTGTTGTTATCCTTTATATGATTATTATAACAATGAATGGTTATATGATCATTGTTATAGCCATAATAAATAATCAGTAGCCATAATTGTAACTATAACAATATTACATGGATGAATTTTCAATATTTCTAATTTCTGTATTGTTATCATTAATGTCATTGCCATTAATACGTTTATGTTTTTATCATAAAAAATAATCAACTATTAATATTACTATCAGGCTTACGATTATATTCACTTGTAAGTTTTTACATGAAATAGCAGTAGTTACAATCACTTCTTGTAATGAAAAACTGTAAATCCTTTTTCATTCTATGATTCTCCCTGGCACTTTTCATGAAAGATAAAAGGGATGTATTAACATATTTGCGTAAAATCAACACATCAGGACAAATTTATTTACAAAAGATAAGATATAAACAAAAAATCTTGTACACTCACGGTCCGGACTGTTGTCAACACGATATGAAACTCGTCTCGAATCATCAACTAATGCAACCCATAATACTCCAAGGCTTCAGTATGGTGCTATAATGTGTCAAAATGGTGTGTTGAGGTCCAATTCTGTATTTTATTTATTTGTTTGTTTAAAGATTCAGTGTAGTGTGTCTAGGTTTCAATCTAGTGTTTCGAAATTTCATTACCATGTTTCCGGGTTTAATTTCGTGATTTCAGACTTGGATGTGGTAGTTTTAGGGTTCATTTTGAAGTATCTAAGCTTCAGTATGGTATGCTGACTTCGATACTGTGTTTCGAAGCTTCGACCTAAATCCAGTGAATCTTCAATACAGTGTTTCGAAGCTTCACATCAGGGACTCAACAGTTCAACCGCGATGTACGTAACAACAACAGGCAATTTCTATACATCTCTATATAAATTGTATCTTTTCCTCAGGGAGACCGAACTGCTCGTTGGTGAAGTAATAGTTGTAGGATTCCTCGCAAGGACTCGCCACTGAGGGATCCACGCAGGTTAGCTCCCTCTGGTCGAACACCGTCTCCGCGCCACACATGAAGCTGCGGAGAAGATACTGTTAGATAAAAAGATATGGAAGTGTGTGTGTGTGTGTGGTGTGTGTGTGTGTGTGTGTGTGTGTGTGTGTGTGTGTGTGTGTGTGTGTGTGTGTGCAGTATATACACAAGCACACAGATACACAAAAAACATAACACACTGTGCGAATAACGTTTACATTCTGTCCTTTATCAGGCTTCTGCATCCGCCAGACCGCCTGAGCCTCCCGGCGGCGCCTCACCTGTACTGGTACGACGCTGGCGCCGTCGGCGAAGAGCGCCGGGTAGCACACGTGGTAGACGCGGCAGGCGTTGTCGCGGTCGGCGTAGTAGCCGTAGGGGAGGTCGTCGCAGGAGAAGGCGGTCGAGACGGTCCCCAGCAGGCTGGAGGCCGAGGCCGGGAGGTTCAGGGGCTCGAACACGCCGTCCACGGCTTCGTCGGCGTCGCCTTCGTCGGGCCGACGTCCGCCTCCGATGGCAGAGCGAAACCTGCTGCCGCTGGACGAGGCCAAGCCGCCCGTGGCGCCAGAGGCGCTGGCCGCTGGGCGAGCCAGGTCTGCTGCCTCCTGAGGCGCCGGGACTGGCCTGCAGCCCGCCGTCGGCCGGGAAGCTGGTCCTCGGCTGAAATCCTCCAGCCGAGGGCGAGGTCGAGAGGGCGGCTGTTCCTCGGCGGAAGAAGCCATCGCCGGCGAGTCGCACGGACACATCCGGGAACTGCTGGGCTGCAGCTGATGCTGCCACGAACACTAGAATATATTTTGGAAGTTTTGTTCATTCATTTATCTATCTAGATTCCCATCTCTGTAAAACGGGAATTTATTTATTATATATGTAGCATTTGATAGAGGATTTTGAAAAGAAAAAAAAAAATTTCACAACTCACCGAATAAAAAGTGCATCATCTCTGTTTCTCGACGTTCAAGGCTGATCTGCGAGGGAAAGCAATGCTGTGTTGTTTTAAATAGTCCAAGCTCGGTGAAACGCGCAAGGCAGGAAGTGAACGGAATGGCAAGCAGCAAGTTTCATGTGAAAATGTCCTTTCGAATGGCTGCTGACCACGGGATATACCAAACGTCTTTCTCTACCTTCTCCTTTTCTCTCTCTCTC